ATTCATAAGGCTTCCCTTAAAACCCATGCATGCTACATGTTCCTTGAACATGTTGGGAGGTAGGCCTTTCATGAGCGGATCCGCGAGCATCCTTTCTGTTCTTATGTGCTCGAGACTGATTGTTTGATCCCGGACTTTGTCTTTCACAACATAGTACTTTATGTCAATGTGTTTGGCAGCACCACTTGACTAATTGTTGTGAGAGTACATTACTGTGGGTTCTTTATCGCAGTATAACTTTAGTGGTTTCTCAATACTATCAACCACCTTTAAAACCGGGTATGAACTTCATTAGCAAGTTCACCTGCCCCGTAGCCTCATGGCATGCTATAAACTCGGCATACATGGTAGACCCTGCAGTGGTAGTCTGTTTTGAGCTTTTCCATGAAATAGCTCCTACTGCCAGGGTAAACATGTATCCCGATGTTAACTTTGTATTATCTTTTGCAAAGTCAGAATCCGAATACCCCACTATCTGGAGCGATTCTGCTTTTCTGTAAGACATCATGAGGCCTTTTGTTCCTTGCAATCACGCAAGACTTTCTATACCAATTTCCAGTGCTCTAGGCCTGGATCACTTTGAAATCTGCCAAATAACCCGGTAACAAATGCCAAATCAGGTCGTGTGCACACTTGCGCGTACTGTAGGCTTCCTACAGCTGACGCATATTGCTTTGTTTTCATTTTATTGAGCTCATACTGATTTCTGGGACATTGCGATGCCCCATACTTTTCGCCTTTGACTATAGGAGCAGGTGTAGCACTGCATCTGTACATATTGAATTTCTTCAACACCTTTTCTATATATATGCCTTTTGAGAAAATCCCAATGCATACTTTGTTCTATTTCGGTGAATCTCTATGCCCAAAACATATGAAGCCTCACCGAGGTCTTTCATGTCAAAGTTTGAGGACAAGAATTTCTTTATTTCCTGTAGTAGATTGACATCACTACTAGCCAGTAGAACGTCATCTACATACAGAATTAGGAAAATGAGTCTCCCATTCTTAACTTTGAATCAATACAGTTGTCCTCTACATTCTCTTGAAAACCCAAATTTCTTTATTGTTCCATCAAACTTCAAGTAGCATTGTCTCGAAGCTTTGCTTTAACCCATAAATGGATCTCTTTATACGGCATCCCATATTTTCGTTTCATTTCATGACGAAACCTTTCGGTTATGCCATGTTTTAAATCACCATTTAGAATTTCCGTTTTTTACATCCATTTGATGTAATTCCAAATCATAATGTGCCACTAGTGCCATTATAATTATGAAGGAATCTTTACAAGAGACTGGAGAAAATGTCTCATTGTAATCTCTTCTCTTTGCGTGAAGCCTTTTGCCACGAGTCGCACTTTAAACTTTTCTATATTCCCTCTAGAGTCATATTTGGTTTTGTAGACCCATTTACAGCCTACTGTTTTGGCTCCTTTAGGAATTTCTTCTAAATCCCAGACATCATTTAATTTCATTGATTTCATTTCATCTTTCATGGCTTCTCATGGCCTCTTCATATGAGATGGGATCATCCTCCATATGCGACTCTTTCAGGCCTTCTAGGGGCCTCCTATTCTGGCACATTATCTGTTTGAGGCTGTTGCAGCTCCTCCTCTGATGTGGCAATAATTTCTGTTGAATCCTGTAGAACAGGTTCCTCACTTTCATTCATTGTTGCCACAGGAGAGATAACAACAGGTGTTGGTACCGCAACGGCATGCATTGCTGGCACAACATTTGCAGGTAGAGAGAAGAAAGGTTCCTGAGTCGACGGAGCGGGTACAGACACCCGCCTCTCCTCAAGATCAATTTCTCGAATTACCGAGCTCCCCCTAATCATTTCGTCTTCCAAGAAGACGGCGTGTCTCGTTTCTACAAACTTTGTATAACTGTTTGGACAGTAGAAACGATGACCCTTTGATCTTTCAGAATAGCCAATAAAACGGCAGCTTACTGTTTTGGGTTAAATACTTTATCCTTTGCAGGACTCCCCCACACACGGAGGATCCATAGCTCATACGGTGTTTTGGGCACCGATGCATTCTATACATTGTATGCATCGTTCTAAAACTGAGAACTCCAATGGAGGAAGAACTACATTCTTAACCAGTCTCTCAATTCTCCCCCTCGAAATATGGCATAAACAACAGTGCCATAATTTCGATGAGACATCAGAAGTTCGCTTTCTTTTCTTTTGTCAACGAGGACACAACATTCACATTCTCAGAAAGAGATAACAAATAAAACTGATCTTGCAACACAAGACCAATACATTCATTATTATACCATAGTTCACATTTGCCATTTCATATCTATCAGAATCCAATTTGGATACACTTATTATCAAGTTTCTTTGCAAAGAATGGACATAAAAACATCTGGAAGTAAAAGTGTGAAGCCATTCGCGAGTTCTAGGCGAAAATCTCCAACAGCTTCAACTTTTGCTTCAACTCCAGTGGCAACTCTAATGGATCTTTCACTTCTTTACGTAGTCCTCATTGAACGGAATCCCTTTAAACAATTACACACATGAATAGTTGCTCCAGAATAAATCCACCATGTGGATCTAGAATAACCAATCATAATGAGATTCTTTACAAATGTAATAATGTTCTCACCTTTCTTTGCCATGATCACTGTCAGGAAGTCAGGATGATCTTTCTTGGAATGTCTTGTCTTCTTGCAGTGTAGACACTGATCTTGTCTCAACTGTAAACTGTTGTTTCTGAGGCAGATGCTGAGGCTGTTTTTCTTTTAAGGAGGGTGACCTGTGGCTCTTTTCCTTGTTATCTTTGACAAGGTTAATGGAGTCACCATTGGTCTCTTTGTGTCTTTCCTCCTCTTGCACACAATTAGAGATGAGCTCTTCAATATTCCAATTCTCTGTACTTATTTTGTAGTTGACAACAAGGTTGTCAAAGTTCTTTGGCAATGAGGACAAAACCAGATGGACCAGAAAGTCATCTGAGATGCCCAAATCTTTTTGCTTCAATTTGGAAGCCATGTTGCTCATCCTAAGAATGTGGTCTTTTACACCACCTCCATGGTACCTCTCTGTAACAAGCTGCTTTATCAGCTGTGTCGCATAAAACTTTGAAGAACCAGTAAACTGGCTCTTTATACTTTCGAGGTACTTAGAGACAGTGTCATACTCTGGGATTGAGCCCAATATGGTTGGCTCAATCGTGTTCTTTACCGCAGCCAAACAATTCTTGTTGGCTGAAGACCATTTCGCATGCTCAATGTCATACGACATGATGAGGGAAGCATTGTCCCTCTCTCTCTTTTGCCATTCAGCATCTGACTCTTTTTCACCTCTGAAAATTTCAGCAGGTTCTATAGGACATGGGGTAGTCAACACCCAGTCCACCTCTCCCAAGATAAAAGCAAGGTCGAGTTCTCTTTTCTATTCTTCGTAGTTATCTCCTTTCAGGGTCGGAATATCTTTAATGTAACCCATCAAGGAGTAGCCACCTGAGATGATCATGTATTGTGAGAACAAAAATTAACATTAAAATTATTATGTATTAAGTCTACATCACCGTTGGGCAAAAAATAGACATAACACATAAAGCCATAACTATAACATTGCAATTATCAACGTTGGTCAGAAAAATTACAACATCATAGCACATAATTAATGTTCCTAAAATTAAAATCTCCCGTTGGTTTGAAATTTAATTTTAGAAACACTAATTTTCATCAATTTCATCTATTTGCAGCGGAAGATCTATATACAATTCGTATAAACAATAACAAAACTTTGTTATTTACTCTGTAAAATTCTCCCGTTGGTTCAGATTTAAACAGAGGTAAAACATGTAAAAACAATTCAAAATTCTATTGTAATTTGCATGAAAATATACAAAATACATGTTCAGAAGCATTTCTCACATTTATCTATTCTCTAAACAATTTTCACGTTGGTTCAAATTGCTTAGAAATAATCACAATAATTATACATAATTGAAAAAGCTTCTGAGAGGACCTATTATTAAACTTTTCTTTTCTTTTTCTTTCGGCCCCGAGGGACCTAAATTGAACTTTTCCGGCCTTTGCCGGTCGGCCCATGGCCACCTTGCGCGCGGGTGAGCGCCCCCTCCCCTCCCCCAGGCCGCAACCTGGGCCTGGGCCGGGAAAGCCGCCGCCGCGCGCTCCCCACTTGGGCCGCTTTCGGCCCGGCCGCCGTCGGCCGTCCGATCGCTAGGGTTTCGATCGGACGGCCGGGCGCTGAGATCGGAGGGACAAAAAAACCCGACCCCAGCCGCCGGCCGGCCGAAACCCTAGCCTCTTCTCTCTTGCGGGCGGGTGCGGCCGCGCCGAGTGGCGTCATCTACGCCGGCGACCCTTGCGCCGCCGCGCGTCCACTTTTTCTCTAGCGCGCCGCCGGGCGGAGCGGCCGAGCGGAGCGGCGTCGCCGCCGCCAGCGGCCCTTGCGCCCTCTTCCTTTTCTCTTCTCCGCTCCCCCCACCGTCTCTAGCCCCCACCGTGTGAGAGAGAGCGGCGGCCGAAAAACGGAGATGGCGGCGCCGCCACGGGCCCCCTCGCCGGCGCGCGCGTGCACCCGCGGGTGCGCGCGCGGCCGTCGAGTGGCTCCTCGGCGGTGCCTCTTTGCCCCTCCCCCCCTCCGTGGCCGGCGTCATCGACGGCCGGCGACGAGGTAAGATTAGGGTTAGGGTTTCGATCTTTTTGATCCGTTGGATCGTTTGCTTTTCTCTTTGGATTTCTTTCTTCTCTGTGGATGTCTATCCCCGAACCAAACTAAACGCTAGGATGGCTCTGATACCATTGTTAGAGTTGTCTATTGGATCACCTAGGCTTAGATCTAGTCGGGTGGTTCTATTTGCAATGGATGAACAACAATAGATGAATGAACAAAGAGGGAGTGAGGATTTAGGGTTGTGACCAGTCGTTGTTGAGGAAGAGGAAGTCCGGCCGGCCATCGTCGTTGTCGTCGCGGGCTTGACGTGGACGGCGGCGACGATGTGCTCGGTTCCGATGGCGGTGATGCGGTTGCAGCAGCGACGGTGTCAACGACGAGGCGTGGCGCGGCGGTGGACTTCCCGTCACTGGCTGCGCCCCCTCGATCGGTTAGGGTTTATGGGGTGGAGTGGCGGCGGCGACGAACCTCGTTCCTTTTGTGTGTCTTATCCCGTCCCGTCCTCCACCCCTCTTTATATGGCACAGTGTGACGGGGGCCCACCAGCCATTGGGCTGGGCGCCCCCGATCAGGGCGCGGGTCAAGGCCCCCTTGAGCCGTTGGGCTCAAGGGGAGGGAGATCCATCTAACACTGATGTCTATGAAGGAAAACTTGAGGATAATACATTGGTGGCTGTGATGAAATGCAATCTGGTAAACAAGGCCCAGAAAAAGGTTTTTAGCAATGCAGCAATGATACAGTCCCAAATTGTTCACAAGAACATCATCAAAATTTTAGGTTGCTGCTTGGAGGAGGAGATTTTAGTTCTTATATACGAGTATCCTTCTAGAGAGAATCTCTATGACATTCTGTACGGTGTAAAAGCTGTCCGACTGGTTTCACGCCTGAATATAGCAATTAAGATTGCAGAAGCATTACTACACAATCATTCTTGTCTCATCCAACAAGGTTCTGTTATGAGAACCAATATCCCACACGGTTATGTTATGACACCCAATATACTTGTCGATGGTAACTTTGTGCCAAAGCTAGCAGGCTTTTCAGTCTCACCCAGACTTATTGAGGGCAACAAGCATGCTATGTTTGATTATGACAATATGAACTGCTATAAGAACTACTTTGACCCAAGTTTTCCTAAGTGTGGGATACCAACGGTCAAAAACGATGTGTACAGCTTCGGTATTGTCCTCTTGGAGCTCATTAGCAGGAATAGACCAGTATGTCAAGAAGGGGATAATCTCCTTGTGTCTAAATTTTTGAGAACTTACAACAGAGACATACATGGAAAGGCAATGTTTGATGAGAGAATCACAGAAGAAGAAGACATTCATGCCCTTGATGATATTGGGAGGTTGGCGTTGAGATGCACGCATCCAAAAACCAACAGGAGACCAACAATGAAGGAAGTGGCTGGACACCTTGAGATGATCAGGAGCTCTTGGAAACTGAAGACGGCCATGGGAGCTACCACAAGTTAACTGAAGCCGAAGCTGCAAAGGCCGTTGGCAACGATGGAACTGAAGCCAAAATATATTGCGTCATAACCTATTTTAAGAAAAATAAAAAAAGTATATTGCGTACAATTACATACTCCATCCGTACTCGTAAAGGAAGTCTTTTAGGACAGCTATACGGTCTCCAAAACACAACTTTGACTTCTTGTTTCTATAAAAATATTTATTGAAAAGTGATATATGTATACTTTTATGAAAGTATTTTTCAAGACAAATCTATTCATATAATTTTTACATTTTCAGACTCAACAACTTGAGAGTTATTCATGATTTATATTCCTAAGGTTTAACTTAAACATTGTCCTAAACGACTTTCTTTACGAGTATGGAGGGAGTATACCTCAACGGATGTTGGGTTATTGCTACTTGAATGCTAATTGTACCATATATGATAGGTTTTCCAGCTCTTTTCCCATTTGTTGTTATGGCTTTTCATTTCACTTCATTCTTTGGCTGAATGGCTGTGTGCACAAGGTGCAGGGACAATTTGCCGTGCAAATATTTTTCTATAACAAAAAAAAAATTGATTGTTCGTCGCGTTGGGATGCTGTATTATTTATTGTCACAAGAACATTATAGTTACAAATGTACTTAGTTATAATTTGGTTGTAGAGTACATATCGTTCAATGCAATTATCCCCTTTTTTCTCTTTTGATCAGGCTTCTTGTAAATATAATTTGGTTGCGCTGCACGTGTTTTTATCTGGCATTCTGGCACAGCAGAAATCTTGTCATTTTTAACCCTGTCTCTGTCGTCTGTTCCCAAACCGGGAGTAAACTAGTATTGGAAACAAAGGGCACAATCAAATGGATCAAATTTGGAGAGAAAAATATATACCAAATTTTTTCATGCCATGGCTACAATAAGACAGGAAAAACAAAATCTCCTCCCTACCAGGTTCACTACATCGGTTTAGGGTTTTTATCGGGGGTCACCGAAATCCCGAAATTTAGTTGAATTTGAACAAATATTACCCAAATTCATGAAAAAATTGAAAAATTCAAAACTTTCAGCCGGATTAATATCGTATCGGGGGTCACCGAAATGACCGAGGTCCGAAATTTCCAACCCTGCTCCCTACAGACTCACAAGGAGAAGATTTCAGTGATCAAGGCTGTCATCCTCTGGGCAGCATACAAGGAGAGATTGGGGGAAACAAACTGTCCAACAGTGCACTTTAATCTGCAGGAACTGCTTACAGCACATTGTGAGCTAAGTTGTCTTGAGGAACCTTTCGCTCATGAGGAGATAAATAAAGTGGTTGCCTCTCTTCCATCAGATAAATCACCCGGTCCAGATGGATTCAATGGGGACTTTCTCAAAGCCTGCGGGGACATCGTAAAAGAAGATTTTACTCACTTTGTCAAGGGTTTTATGATGGCGCAATCAGTATGTAAAGTATTAATGATTCCTATATCACTCTGGTAAAAAAAAAGAAGAAAGCTCCTGCTACAGAATCAAACCACACACATCACCAACCAATGCATATTAATAATATATTCATATATATACTATTGCGACTAGATGTTTTGCAGTATACTTCATCAGTCCCAAAATATAAGCACTTTTAGACTTTGATACGGTATTTGAGATGCTATTTTGACCAACGATATCTATAAAAGTATGATGTTTTAAATAAAAAGAATTACATATTGTGATAGTGTGTTTAATCATAAATCTACTAACATTGATTTTACATGATTAATCCCTTTTATTTTTTTTGTTATTAATAGTCAAAGTTACAAATATTTGACTTGTCACTATGCTAAAAATGCTTATATTTTGGGATGGAGGGAGTATATTTTTTTTCGAGGGGACAGGCAAAGAGCTCCTGCAATTCACTATAGAAGAAGAGAGTTGATCCAGTTTATAAGGAAAATTGGACCCAAAAACTTTACAGCAGCACGGTTAATTAAAGGAAAACCGGCGAAAACCTCGACATTGACAAACTGAACCTAAGTACAGCCGTCCAACAAGAGAAAAAACTCCTAAAACGAAACCTTCAAGAAGGTTACACCGACGGAACGACAACATCGTCCGATCCTAACAAATCTAGGTTTTCACCCGGAGAAATCTCTTGAAGTGGAGTTGAATGAGGGCTTCAGTAGCAACGATTTCAAGAAGGTGAACGGCGCCTAAGGGCGTCACTGTTGCTAGCACCGACAGCGGAGCTTCGCCTTGGAGCACCCATCAACCATAGCATCCACGGCGGGAGCTACCAAATGTCACCTGCACACCAGGGTACCTGCAATATTCACACCACCTGCACAGACGACCGGACTCCAATCCACCCCGTCCCCACCTGAGGACGCGCCGGATCTGGGCAAGAGGAGCCAGATCTAGCCGTCCTCCTCACCACCAATGTCGGCCGACGCCAAGAGGAGCGCCGAAGAACGCCAGTGGCAACCGCGGGATACCTGCGTGCGCTGCCCACCGCCGGCCGCCGCGCCGCCGCCGGATCCGCGGCCTTCACCACCGCCACCCCATCCCCACCGCCATCACCCACAACTCCACCCGGTGCAACTCACCTCGACCGCCACTATCCTCCGTCCCCGTCGTCGTCGTCCCTGCCGCTAGCCACCCCGGCAGATCCGGCCGGAACGGCGCCGGTCTGGCGGTCACCACTGTCGCCACTCCGGGCGGCTCCCCAGACCGCCCGAGCGCGAGAAGACGAGGAAAGCCCTGCCGCTGCCGTCCTTGCGGACGCGCGGCTTTGCCGGCAGCCGCTCAGGCGACAGCGAGGCGGAGAAGGGAGGTGGGGGAGAGGGGCGGCCGGGTCGTCGCCTCCCGAGCCGCCCCTGGGGAGAGCGACGCGAGAGGATACGTGAGAGTAGCGAACATATCCAATCAATCGACGGAGGGAGTATATATTATCCCATTAGCTGACCAACCAAACTCCGAGTAGATTTAGGTGGATGAGACGATTTCTGCATTTCTGGAGTATCAAACTAGCAAATTGTAGGGAAGACTTAGGAAACGCGACATATATATTAGATCGGGGAGCGAGCTCTATATTGATAGGATCTGGTGGGTGGTGGCCATACGTCGTCGGCGCAGCAACTTTCGCCGGTGACATCGATCCCATTATTGCCTAGCTAGCTAGGCCACAGGTATGTAGAAGACCATAGTATCTGTTCGATTCCATCATTCAATCATCGGCTCATCGCTTAATTATTTCTCCTCACTTGCGGTAGTGCTTATGAGACATCAGACATGCTTGCAATTAATGATAGTAATATGCACGCATTTCTTTTTTTCTTTTGAAGAAGGAGCAAAAGCTTTGCCTTCTTACATTATTAGAGCAGAAGTTTTACAAGATCTTTTTTTTTACAAGGCAACAACTCAGGACGTACACTTACACATAGAGATGAAAACGGATCGGAAACGGACGGAAACTAGCTTTATCATATTCGTTTTCATATTTTTTTTTTCAGAATCGGAATCGGAATCGAAAACTCGGATACGGAAATGAAATCGAATATTATCGAATACAGATACGGAGCGAATACGAGACGGAACGAATACGGTAGCGAATATTTACCGGTATATAAAAAACCTCTCAAATTGAGTTTCTTAATCAAGGAAGAGATATTGCTTATTATTTTAGTTCAACATCTCCAACATTTATATCGTCAATTTTGTAGACGGTCCCACAACTGTATGTGAAAATCGATTTTCATGGTTGTTCCTCTAAGAGATCCATATGCAAATATGATTATCATTTTCTATTCCCAAGACCTTTTACTAGATGTATAACTTACTTATCATTGTATAATTGGAGATGTTATTTATTTTACTTCACATCTTCGAAATTTGTAATGTTTGTATTATACTTTAAATGACTTCAAATACAAATGTTATAAACTACAAAGTGGTAGATCACGTTGAGCTCTACAATTTTGATATGAAACACATCTCCTTCAGATATCGTTTGAATTGTAGATCTGAGATTTTGTAAAATTAATATGGTATATTATAATAAATATTTAGACCCTTAAATGACCTCAAATAATAAAATAGTCAATAATAAAGTTGTAGATCTCATCGAGCTCTACAATGTTGATATAAAGTTTGTCTTCATCTGATTCCGTATGAAAAAGTTATGTATATATACGTATTTTTTCTAAAATTTGCTCAATGTCTGCGGATATCCGAAAAAATTCCGGATAGTTTCCGACCATTTTCCGATTCCAACGAATAGTACCCTTACTATATTCGTTTTCGTTTCCGAGAAAAAATATCCGAATTCGTTTCCGAATCCAAGAATTTCCAGATAATTCCGACCGAAACTATCCGAATCCGAAAAATGGTCCGGACAGACGGAAACTATCCGAATCAGTTTCATCCCTACTTACACACACCACACTCACACCACAACACACGCACACACACGCGTGCGCGTCCCTAGCACACGCTAGGATGAGATTGGAGGCATTAGGCCTCAGTGTACGGGAAACATGCAGTCCCACTAAACACGCACGCGTGTGTGTACCCTGTTACCTAGCCGGGACCAATCGAAGTCAGTCCCGGGTAAAGAGGGGAAAAAAACCCCGGGTAAGGGACGAGCGTCGAGTCTGGGACTTGAATGCTGGTCGGCACGAAGCGAGCCACTGGCTCCTGCCACCCACGCTATGCGCGGTCCTCAGGAGTTCTACAAGATCGAAAACAAAATATGTATAGGGCATGGAGATGTCCAATTGTCCATGTCCGCAGAAGCGGGCTCCCTAGGTGATGATATCTCCCAATTAAAGAGGGTATCTCTCGGAGCTTCACTGCCCTTGCCTTTCACCCAAGCTCTTGCATCTTCTTTTATCCTTGCTATAGTGGTGATTGGGGTTGTGGCAGTATGACAGAAGATTCTCGCGTTACGCTCATACCATAGCTCTCAGGCAACAAGGATGATTAACGATTTTAGGGGCTTCTTTGGGGCATGTGGTGTTGAAAATGCTCTTTGCCACCATTCTATCATTGAGTGGCAACTTCCCAGTCTTGTATGCGAAGGTCTCTGCATGCCCATTGCTGGACCACCTCCCATATTCTTGGAGAGCCTCCCATATTAATTGCCGTTGTGCCTGTGAACTGCAATCTGTATGCTGACTGAGCAGTGTATTCCCCAATTGGGGTTAGCTTCCATGTGATTGTGTCACGCTGCAATTCAAGGAGGTGAACCCGCTGAATCATACCCCAGAGGTTTACAAATTCATTGAGGTGCTCGTGCATAGTGATGTGGCTCGGCCTTATATCCCGAATCCAGTTGTCTTTAGTGAGTGCGTCACACAGTGTCCTGTTCTTCCTCTTGGAGGCCACAAATTACCTGAGCAATCTGTTTTATTTGGCACTAGGTAATCAAGAAGCCAAGAGCTCATTGTCTTCCCATCTCCCAACGCTATCATGGTGACAGCTAAAAAATAAAATAAAATCTTGTAGAGCTCTTCGCACGGTACCAACTTTTAATTTCAGAATTTCTGTTGTTCTGCTCTAGTATTTTTACGCCAACTTTTGTTTCTAGCATTTTCAATTTGAGTTTCATTAATTCATTGATCGTATTTGATGTGGACTCAAACTATGCTTTATTCTGTAACCGTAATTAAATTCTGTACACAAATCACAAACCAACAGTGTGATTTTTTTTTGCTCTAATTAATGTGATAAATTTTCATGCACCAAGAGTGTACTCCTTTTCATCTTGTTTCAATAATATAGTTATGGTGTTTGTTGAGTGCTGAGAAAGTGCTGAACTATGCATTTAATTAATTAGGAGAAAACTCCATATTACACCACTCTAAATTGTTAAAAGTACAGATTGAAGGAGTTATCAATATAATGTTTTCAATAATGTTGTTTTCAAATGAAACAAGAAATTGCGATTAATATAAGTGTACAGTAAATTAAGTTATCTTTGCAGAAAGAAATGGGTAAAAACTGAAAAAAAAGACAATATGCCACTCTATTAGTTGGGTTTCGATAAAATATCATCCACTACGATGCAAAGGATAAAATACCACTCAATAGACTCAATAGGTTATCTTGAGTATATTTTGCCACTTTGAGAAGGCTTAAGACTAAAATACCCCTGCTATGGAGAGAGAGGAAGGAAGAGGGGAGCCGGACGACGGCTGTGGTCACCGACGACGAGTGCGCGGCGAGGGGAGGACCGCTCCGGCGAGCGGCGACGAGGGGAGGACACGCGCATGCGCGCGCTCGACGCCAGCAAGCGGCAAGCGGCGGGCGTGTCTGTCCATCTTCCCCATCGTCCATCGTCGTCCCGGTCGCCCGCCCGCCTCGCCCCCGCGACCACCGCTGGCGACCACAGCCGCCGTAAGGCTCCCCTCTCCCTTCCCCTCTCTCTCCACCGCCCCTCCCCCACCTCCCCGCGCACTCACCGCCTGCAACTACGGCCACCGTCCAGCTCCCCTCTCCTTTCCTCTCTCTCTCTCCACCGTCCCTCCCCCTCTCCCCGCGTACTCGCCACCAGCGACCACTACCGCCGTCCGGCTGCCTTCTCTCTTCCTCTCTCTCCACCGCCCGCCCCATGCGTACTCACCGCCGGCGACCATGGCCAACGTCCGGCTTCCCTCTCCCTTTCTCTTTCTCCACAACATGGGTATTTTGGTCTTAAACCTTCTCAATGTGGCAATATATCCTCAAGATAACCTATTGAGTGATATTTTATCCTTTGCATCGTAGTGGATGGCATTTTATCGAAATCCAACTAATGGAGTGGTATATTGTCCTTTTTCTCGTAAAAACAAGCTATATAGTGCCTCGCAGAGGATATTTATTACTCTTTAATAAATTTTCACTGGGTCTTTTGCAGAGTCAGTTCATCAACATCTTCAAATAGTAGTTTTTTTTTAAGATAACAGTGAGATTTTTATTGTTGGCAAACAATGGAACTTCTACAAGAGAAGAACATACATGTCAGCCAAAGGGATGACAAGGCAAAGTGGATAATTGATAACTATAGTAATATTAGGAGTTTCACAGAACATGACATTGAGAAAATCACTAGCAACTATAGCACTCTAATTGGAAAGGGTGGATTTGGAGAAGTATTTAGAGGGGTTCTTGATGATGAAGATGACGTAGTTGCCGTGAAGAGATATATCCGTGGAGATTTAAGAGAAGAGTTCATGGAAGAGATAAGAATCCATGCTCAAATGAGCCATAAGAATATAGTGAAACTTATAGGCTGCTGTATAGGAAAAAATAGACTGATGATGGTAACTGAGTTTATCTCAAATGGGAATCTTGAAGATGCACTTCACAACAGTGATATTTTCATCCCTTTGAGTACACGCTTGGGCATTGCAATGGGATGTGCAAAAGCATTGAGCTACATGCATTCGATGCATTTATCAAGTAGCAGCCTTATATGTCATGGCGATATTAAGCCTGCAAACATTCTTCTTGATGCCAATCTTACAGCAAAAGTTTCAGATTTTGGAATCTCAAAGTCTCTCTCAGGAGGCATCACCCGATGGACTTCTAATGTTAAAGGAAGTATAGCTTACATGGATCCTATATATTATAGAGAAGGCCGTGTTACCTCGAAGAGTGATGTCTATAGCTTTGGAGCTGTTCTGTTAGAACTTATAGCTCGAAAAAGCATGAAAGAAGGGGGCATAAGTTGCGAAGCTTTCCGTCAAGCTTGTGCAAAGGGAAAAGGACTGAGGGAACTGTTGGATATAGAAATAGCAGAAGAATGCAATATGAATATTCTTGAAGAAATTGCAAAATTGGCAACTAAGTGCATGATAGTCGACAATATTAAAAAACGTCCTCAAATGAATGATGTGGCTGAACACCTTCGGACTTGGATTTTTCAAGTCCGGAATGGTGGACATGAAAAACCAGCTTGGGAATCCACTTTGGATAAAGTACATGATGCATTGAAGAAAGGTATGCAAAGCGCCGGCATTTTCAGCTCTAGTATAATTTCAAATCCTCAGAAGCACAATTTTGGTATTTTCAGGAGTAATGATGTTAGAATTTTCACAAAGAAAGATATCAGTGTGATCACAAATAACTCCTCTCATCTTCTTGGTAAAAGTACATTTTGTAATGTCTATAAAGGAATACTAGATGACAATACGTTGGTGGCAGTGAAAACTTATTCTGTGTTTTCTTATGATGAGGATCTAAGAAACAGTATTAGCACTAGCATAACCATCATGTCTAAAATCGCCCACAGGTACATCATCAAACTTTTGGGTCATTGTTCCGATGCTGATCATCTTCCTATTCTCATATATGAGTATGCTGCTAAAGGGAGCCTCAATGACATTCTGTACTCTAAAGAAGATTTCCCACTAGAGTTACGTCTGAAGATTGCAGTAAAAACTGCAGAAGCATTAGAATTCCTTCACTCCTCAGCATTTTGTGTCATCCGACATGGTAATATCAAGCCAAGCAATATACTTCTTGACAGTAACTTAATGCCAAAGGTTGCAGGTTTTACTTCATCAAGGAGGATTGCTGAAAACAACAATGATCAGGTCGCGTCTATGGAATTCACGCATATACACTACATGGACCCGATTCATATTCAGTCTGGGCATTTCACGGTAAAAAACGATGTGTACAGCTTCGGTGTCGTTCTCTTTGAACTCATCAGCAGGAAGAAACCTGTATATCATTGTCATGACAACAATCGTCGACTCATCCCTGAATTCATCAGAGCTTACGAGACAGCCAAGAGTGGGAAGGCAATGTTTGATGAAGGGATCATGGCTGAAGAAGATATCGCTGTCCTTGAAGAGATTGGGAGGCTGGCAATGGAGTGCGTCAGCTTGGAAATCGACGGAAGGCCGACGATGAAGGAAGTGGCTGAACGCCTTAAGATGATCAGGAGAATGAAGGAGAGCTCAGCCATGGGAGCAGCGAGATGCTAACTGAAGCAGAAGCTATAGAAGGCTGTTGGCATCGCTGAAACCGAAGATGAAGCCAACTGATGGGCCACAACTGATTGTTCCCTTTCAGTCTTTCACCTGAGAGATCGTTTACAGAGTATCATCAGAAACATAGTGTGTACTGTTTGGTTGTTAACTGTGTTATATAACATACTGTATTCTCTATTGGCAGTTTGTCACCATATATATAAGACTATATGGACTATTTTTGGTTGTTGGTTTTGTAAGCCGTTGTCGTATTGTTTTGTCTGTTGTCATCAGAAGTTCAGAGCATCAGTTACCAGTGTATTTATAATTCGGTTGCAATCTTGCAGAGACATTATCTCCATAGATAGATTGTGAGGCGCTCAGAAATTCACAACAGCAAGAAGCAAAATCAACAAACCATGTACACACATTCATTCTAGCCACCCATGGGCGAGTCTGGTAGCCACGCGCTCCGGCGAGGCGGCAGCCGCCGGTTGCGATCCTTCCGAGGTCCATCATTTTTCCTTATGGGACAAATTTATATACTCCCTTGTGCACAAGTAATACTCCCTCCGTCCCATAATATAGTAACTTAGAACTGAATGTGACACTTTATAGTACAATGAATCTGGACAGGAAGCATATCCGAATTCGTTGTACTATTAAGTATCTCGTCCGGTACTGATTGCTATATTATGGGACGGAGGGAGTAGAAAACTAGCTCAATGACTTTATTTCCCGTAAGCTGTAATGTACTACCTCCTACCTCCATTTCAGATTATAAGACTTTCTAGCATTGCCCGCATTCATATAGATGTTAATGAGACACACATATATGTATAGATTCATTAACATATATATGAATGTGGACAATGCTAGAAAGTCTTATAATATGAAACGGAGGTAGTATTTTTTTTTAGAAAAATAAAGAGAAAAAGGTTAATCATATGCTTCCTACGGGTTGATAATACTTGTCGTTTTGGACAAAAGCAGGGTCTCCAAAAAAACTACTTTAGCTATTATTTTTTATTATAATATGTATAAAAGTGTTAACAAATATATGATTTTATTAAAGTATTTTTTAAGACTAATCTATACATGTAGTCACCATATTTGAAAGACAAATATTTTAAAAATGATTCATAATCAAATATTCTAAAGGTTAACCTCACCCTTATCTAAAACGGTAAATATTATCCGTTCCGATTTCCAACGGACAAGGCTCGCTGGCACGTGTACGCCAATTAGGATTCCTAGAAAACTAATAAGGGTCAAACTATCCAAGCACCACAGAGTGCAACAAAAAATTTTTCGAATGTGTTCATGAGAATAAGGCTGTGTTTAGATCAGCCCAAAGTTTGGATTTTGGTTGAAATTGGAGATGATGTGACTGAAAAGTTGTGTGTGTATGACAGGTTGATGTGATGGAAAAAGTTGAAAGTTTGGATCCAAACTTTGGATCTAAACACAGCCTAAGGATAGAGCATAGGGATAAGGATGGAGCATAGGGATGAGTGTACGTGTATTAAGGTCCAAACAATTCGAGTCATAGAGTGCACTATAAAGTTTTTTTTGGAGGTGCTTACTGCGAGCAAGTCTAATAGTACAGCCCACTACTAGCTCCAATTCATCTATAACTAATTTAATAGTCAATTCATATAATAGTTGTTTACTATACTATTAATATATGGTCCCACCTGTCATAAACACAGTATGTCTTGGAGTCCGTGCTACAGCTGGCTACAGATCTGTAGCCCGCTGCTTTTCTCTCTCATCGTTTATCTCATTAAAATATGTTTACAGCTGGCTAATAGCCTGCTATTGTGCCTGCTCTTATAGGCATAGGGCATAGAGGTAAATGTACACGTATCGTAAGCACCTACGTTTATACTATGTTTAACGTTTATACTATGTTTAATAAAATGAGTAAATTTCATAAAACCCCACCTATTGTGGTTCAAGTTGCACATAACCCGAAAATTTTGACAAGTGCCATATAATCTCAGGTATTATGGTTTTGAAGTTCCACAAATAAACCATGCCGTTAATCAAATTGTACTTTTTTTGGGGGAATATGCAGCGCGTATTTTTGTATTAAGATTTAGGAGAGATTTACAGCGCTTCTTACACAGCCGAGATTTACAGGGCTTCTTACACAAATTGATGTCCTCCTATATCAAAATTCTAAACAAAAACTTAACCTACATGGATGTAATGTTTATATGATGGATAAAGAATTCATAAATTTGAGATATGATTGTAGAACTTGAAAGTGTGATAGATCAAAATCAAAATGATCAATAGTATAGTTTTTTGAAATTTTTAGAGGAAAGGCTTGTGCCCAGCTTTCATTAAAAAGCCATGATAGTTCTTACAGACAGAAAAACAGCTAAAAAAGAAACAGAAAGGCTGGGATTCCAGCTAGCAAAATAGCATTACCGCTGCTGGCACAGCTCTTAAACAAGCCAGGAACACAAAAGGCACTGCTGACATATCAAACAAGTTTTAGAGGGGTATGCTGCTAACATTTGAGCCTGCCATCCTTCGGATATTGGCAAGCAGTAAATCACTTGAAGCGTCCAGGGTACTCCTCTCCTTTGTTGGCGCCAGTTTTCTCCACTGTAAAAGGCATGACACAGCCTTATAAGGTAAATGAGAGGCATCAGAGACTAATTTGTTGCTAAACATCCAATCGTTTCTCATAAGCCAAATAGCCCAGGAGTCTGCAGCAAAGAAGGATAGCAAAATAGGGTTTGATTCACAGCTCTGCATTTTCAGTCTATCTAACAGCTCTCCCCTTGACCTAGGAATTCCATTCCACCCAAAAGCATCTCTATAACAACACCACATAAATTTTGAAATAGCACAATTGAACATCAAATGATCAACATCTTCTACATACCCCCACAAAATTTACATGAACGACTGTCAGCCCATTTCATTTTTTCCAACTGACTAACCACTTGGATCTTCCCTCTCAGCATTAGCCAAAAAAAGATTTTAATTTTCAAGGGGATTGGGAATCTCCATAGATCCTGCATTATGCAATCTTTAACTCCCCCAAAACTTATTGCTTGATATAGGGACTTGGCTTTGTACACACCTGTCTTGGTTAGCTTCCAAATCATATAATCTCTCTCTATATTTAACTGTATATCACCAAGCAAGTTTTGCAGCTCCTCCCACTCTAACATCTCTCCTTCTCCCAGAGATCTTCTCAATTCTATGGTTTTGTGAAACTTTGTAACCATAATATCTAGGGTTATGTGGCATGTGTCAAAAACCTCCGTGGTTTTGTACAACTTAAGTCATAATACCTAGGGGTTATGTCAAATTTACTCTTAAAGAACAGAAGGATGAAAAATGATAAAGAGAGAACTAATAAGGGTTAAACTGTCCAAGCGCCATAGAATGCAACAGAAACAATGTGACTGATCAAATTGTGCCATGCAGCTCAAGGAGACATTTGATGTGAGGTGAAAACTATGTATCATGCTCAAAAAGCATCTGAGACTTACACAAATCATTGATATCTATACAAGCTTAACGAAAACTACATAGACAAACACTGGTAGCATACTGTATATTTGTGGGAAGTATAAATTCCAAGTACTTCAATATATGCGAGACAGAGTTGAGTCTTCAAGAATCAAGAGAAACAGAGATTTGCCTCATAATTCATGGTCTTTTCCTAGACCGAAGAACCAAACAAGACTCCATTTAAGCCTTCATTTAGGGAAACCGGATGAGAGGAGGTGATGGGCCGGTCGAAGGCGGGTGTGCAACTTATGCGGCAATTGGTGAAAGCAGGGAACCAAGCAGAGCAGACAGCACAGGCCACAGGAGAGAGCTGAACTGCCATATCAGCTTGAGGCACCTTGTAACAGGCAGCGAAGTGCGGAGACGAGGCTACTTGAGGGGGACAATTCTTGGTGTGCCTGTTCAAAAAAAAAGGAAGCAAATATTGAAGTAAATGCCGTGTTTGAAAGCTCGTAAGTGAATGGAATAAATCTTGTAGAAAATACTTCGGAGAATGCAATTATGGAACATTCACCTTTCTGTTTCTTTCTAGTCGTGATTCTGAAGCACAATTCATCGGTAATCCTTCCAGCGGATATGCGCAATCTTTGGCCAGCTTTCTCCGTCAGGTGCTCTGCAGTTCTCCTTCAAGAGTTCACAGCCCCAGATGGATAAATGCTGGAGGGAGGACGGCAGGTCTGGAAGATGAAATGTTTGGGCAAAAATGTATATCGAGTTTATTTAGACTTGAGAGGCACTTCATATTTCCTTCTAGGGACCTCATTTCAGTCACGAAACCTCAGGCACCTGACCATTGCAAAATGTGCTGCAGATTCTTCAAATGCAATGGATGGCTCCTTGCAATTTTCAAGAGAGAGAAATGGTGGAACTTTGAAGCCTTCAGCGGAGAGCATGTGGTTGAGCATCACAAAACTGCTAACATAGAGTGAATATTGGACACGAAACTGTGAGATGCACTCTCCAGTAAGCTTTGGAACATCTATCAAATGCACGTGATGAAGTTGCAGAGAAGACAAGTCTTCCAGCACACATAAATCTGGTGAATGATATAGTGAGAATGATTTGAGGGAGGTTAGACGACCAACAGACATGGATGAAGAGCTTCTGCAGCTACACAGTCCAAGTTGTTCGAGGTTTGGCAAGTCAGTACAGAAGAGGTCAGCTGTGATCACACAGCTATATATACTAAGTTTCTGAAGGGAAGATGGCATAGATTCTGCTCCATGTGCCAGCTCTAAAGAAGGGCAGGAGATAAACCTGGCTTCGAAAAGAGATGTAGCTGCTCGCAAGCCTCCTAATGATCTGAGACACCAGCAATATTTAATGAATAGGAATTCAAGCTTTCTCGAATGTTGAACGACCCCATCTGACGGAAGTGTGGTCAAAGTCATGATGTTTATTAGCGACAATCTTTTCAGTGAAATGAGGCTACCAAGGCAGTTAGATAAAGCTCCATCCGTAATACTGCATGAAGAGAGATGAAGTCGGCAAAGTCCTGATGGTGGAACTAATGGCAGACCGACGTTCCTTTTGTAAAGGAGTCTAATCCTGTGCTCATGGCAACATACCCATGCCTGGATGATGTTTTCTTTTTCATCTCCTCTTTCTAGAGCGCTTTCAATGGTTTGAAGATTTTCCATTATGTCAGCATCCATCCATGTTGACAAGTGCTTCAATGATGAATGTTCATCAGATAGTGCATTCATTATATCTGATCCTAAATCCACATCCCAGATCAAAGCAAGGTGTGATGCCAAGTGGTCTGCCCTCATCATGTTGTTCTCCCTCTGAACATGCTGTTCAACCTCATCGTTGGAAATAAACATAAGCAGCGGGCATTCTTCGATCGACAGGCATGTAAGGCCTCCTGGAAGACATGTTAACGTCTTCAGGTTTGGAACATTTCTAAGTGTAAGTTTATCACAGTGCCTTAGGAGTTTCGTATTGGGTGGTAGGCTTTCCAATGAACTGCAATTAACAAGCTCAAGAGACTCCAAATTCTCAAAATAGGAACCCTTAAGGAGCCAGCTTGGATATGTGGCAGGTCTGTAACCATTGATTGTAAGGCCCTCAATTTTGGGCGGTGGCATCAAACCTTCTAGAATGTCCAAATAAAAACTATCTTCTGCATCCATGTTATTGCAACTCCAGACAAGCTTCAATGTTTTAACATGACTTTTTTCATGTAGCTTTGACTCCAAGGCTTCATCCTTTCCAGTGACATTCTCGAGATTTGTGATACTCAAACTGCCGCCAAGCTCGTTCATGTCCCTCAGTTGCCATAACTCATAACCCTTCTGCTTTTGCACGCAAAAATCATCAATATGTTGTAGAGAAGTTAACTTGCCTATGTTCGGAATTTGAGGTACTGCTTCTTCACGCATACTATACATTAAATCATTGTACCCTTCAAGATGCCGCAACTTACTTAAATTGCAGAGTTTCTCAGGCAAACTCTCAAATTTGTTGTTTAACTGAAGTAACTGTAGGTGGTAAAGAGTACACAATGATCTCGGCAATTCAGAAATCAATGTTTTGATAATGTTCAAATACCGAAGGTGCTTCAGCTGACCAATAGATTCAGGCAACTTGCTTGTGTTGTAAAATGACAAATGGAGTGCACGCAACTTCTTCAGATTCTGCAATACCTGATTGAAGAGATCGTTTCCATCATCCACTAGTGGTTCAGTGCAGATAACAGTGCGTAAATGATGTAACTTGCAGATACTTTGCTTATGCAGTTTCACACTCTCAATACAAACAGATAAATGACGAATCGTGCATGGTATTACTTTCTCACTATCATCTTCTAATCTAAAGCAGTCTTCTTTTGAAAGTGACTCTGCAAACTCATGGAGAAGATCATGCATGCTGTACTGTTTACTGACATGCATTTCAGATATGGGTTGAAAGAAAGATACAGACACCATCTCATTGAAGTAATCCCGGCCAGTGTCTTCCATACTCTTATTCAGGTTGCCTGAATCAACTAATCCCTCTGCCACCCAAAGGTGGACCAACTCATCAATTTTATACTTGAAACCTTTTGGAAATAAGCTGCAATACAGAAAGCACCTCTGCAGATATGGATGTAACTTTTGGTAGCTCCATGACAGAGCTTCCATTGGCTCTCAGGTTGTCAATCTTTATAGCTAGAGCATCCTTCCATGCAGTGCTATCAATTTTCCCTTTCAACTGGGAACCCACAACTTTTGCAGCCAGAGGAGATTTTCCAAGCCTTTTACAAATCCTCTCTGCAATCTCTTCTAGCTTCCCGTGCAATTGCAGATCTCGGATGACAGCTCCAGAGAAAGCATAGTGTTTGAAGAGTGCCAAGAAATCATTATCTTTCATGTTTTCCAAATCAATGACCTCTTCACAGAAAAGAGCAGCTGGAAGTGTCTTTGACCGAGAAGTTACCAAAACTTTGCTTCCCCCTTTCTGAGAAGCTAGCAGAGGATTGAGCAGTAAGTCCCATTCACTCTGGTTGTTAGATTTATCAAACCAAACATCATCCAACACAAGGAGGAATTTCTCTTTTTCATGCAGGATTTCCCTTAGTTTGCACTGAAGAGTGTCAAGATTATCAACACGTGGGCACTCACCCTTCTCTGCAGACTTGATAATCTCCCGTGTATGCCGATGGACATCAAGTTTGCGTGAGATGCAGACCCACATCCTTACATCAAAATGTTCTTTCACCCTATCATCGTTATAAACATACTGTGCCAAGGTGGATTTTCCCATGCCCCCTTGTCCAACAATGGCCAAAACCATGTAGCTAGCCTCAAAGGCACTCTTCTTAATAAGAAAATCTACTATACGGTTGCGGTCCATGTCCCGACCAAAAACTTTTGGTGGTGGAAGTGATGTAGCTGGAGCGACACCGGCAGTTTTTGGTAGGCTGGAGACCTCTGCACTATTGCCACCTGGTAAACCAAGCAGTTCACAGAACTCCCCGGCTTTCGCCAGGATGCCCTTCAGTTCGTTCAGCTGGCGAAGTAGCTTTCTGTTCTCTGGGTGCAGATTGGACACCCTGCTAAATGCAGCATGCAGAGGCTTCTTCAAAGTGTTATTGATGGAGGAGACATGCGCCACAGAGGAATCACTCCCACGCTTCGCTTTGCACTTGAGGACATTGTACTCGTGCTCGTCGAGCAGATCCTCAGCGTTGTACAAGGCTTCCTTGAGTTCCCCGAGCCATTTGTCCAGCTTGGATCTGTGGTTAAGCTTATCAGCTGCTTCAATCATCAGCTCAAACTGCGGCATGATGGTGGTCTCTAGTTCATGGAGCTCACGCTTCATGTCCACGCCAAGGCACATTGAAGGGTCAGTGAGGAGCTTCATGAAGGTTGGCGATGCTGCCAAATGTAAGCCAGCCAGCACCACCTCTGCCATGGAACAGCACTAGTTCTTTTCTGTGTGTTATTTTCTTTCTTCTTTCAATACTATATTCTCTTTTACATCAGGCAAAAGTGGAGCTCATTGAAGCAGTGTCAGACGCAATGAAGATCCTGGGTATTCCTGGGGATACCTAAAAATTTGTGTAATAAAATTAATATATATAGGTATATCACATTTGTATATATTTACATAGATCTAATACTTCATTCCCAATCTTTTTTCTCAATAAATCCATTTTTTTTACTCCTAGCTCACACCACTTCCAACAATCTCAAATGCCCTAACTCTATCCCACTACAACACTAGGGACATGACACTTGTAATGGTTGAGTGAATACGCCATCTTAAAATCCTGCGTCCATGTCACGACGTCGTCATCACCATGCGATCCAGAAGTTCAAGACATCCAAACCAGGCGATCCACTCGGGCAAGGAGGCCCACAAGTAAATTCCCTCAGAGTGAGTGGACCCGGTGATGTTTGCCGGGCCACGGGTCAGTGAGAGAGATCTATTAGCTCATTGCTATATAAGATCGGCAGGGTCGAGAGTTTAGGGACATGAAAGAAATTGTACAAACTATTCCCCAATATTTCAAACTCTCCTCTGCTTCCTTCATCTTCTTCTTCCTCTAGCTCTGCTCTTCTTCTTCCTCCCGAAACTTCTATCCTCAAATTTCTTCGTTACTTGAGTGAATCGAATCGGAGAGAAGTGAGTTCGTGACAATTTGGTATCAGAGCTCTCATCCTGGAGAAACCACGGTACACCTCAAGGTTGCAGATGCAGGTGGAGGCCATGGAGAAGCAGAACAACGACTTCGGAAAAATTTTGGCCGAGATTCAGGAGTCGCTGGTGTCGTTGAACAACAAGCAAGCGGAGACTCAAGCTGTGGTGGCGAAGCTGGATGCGGGAGTCAACGGATGGCATCCGCAGGTGGAATCGGCGATCCACGATTTGCGCGCGGAAGTAGGAGATCTTCGTCAGCAGCTGGACCTCGTCGGCAAAATGAATCAAGCTTCCTCTTCGGCGCTTTCCCCTCGAGTTCCGTTGACGGACGAGGAAAGGAAAGCGTCGTTGCTGCCCACTCCGCCACCAACATCTCAACCAGCGGCGGCGGAGGATCGGAAGGTGCCGTTGCTGCCTACCCCGCCACCAACAACTCAACCCATGATGGCGGAGGGCGGAAGCAAATGGGCCAATGGCCACCACTCTGCAACACAACTCCGGGGAAGGGTTTCTGGTGTTCATCTGACTCAGAACCTTGCCCCGGGCAAGGGTATGTTCGATTCTAATCCCACGCATAAGGGGAATTTCAATTTTGCGCAGAAATTTGAGGGTGCTAGTTGGGGATCTGAGGAATTTGATTTTGAACAAGGGGAACGTCAGTATAGTCATCGAGTTCCTAAATTGGATTTTCCAAAATTTGATGGTTCTGATCCCCAGGATTGGCGAATGAAGTGTGAGCATTATTTCGACGTGAATAATACTTTTCTAGGGTTGTGGGTGAGAGTTTCTATCATCTACTTCATGGGTAGGGCAGCCTCTTGGTTGAAATCGTCTCGAGCTCATTTGCGTTTTCCAGTTTGGGAAGATTTTTGTGCTGCTGTTTCTGAAAAGTTCGATAGGGATCGACATGAGGCCTTAATTAGACAAATGGATAGCATTAGGCAAACCAGCACTGTTTGGGAGTTTTATGAGCGTTTTGATGAATTGATGAATCAACTGATGTTTATGATCCGGTGGTTAGCACCAAGTACTTAACCCATAAGTTTACAGAGGGTTTAAAAAGGGAAATTAGAAATGCTGTTTTGCTTCAGCGTCCACAAAATCTCGAATCTGCGTTGGCTGTTGCTTGTTTACAGGAAGAAGTTCTGGAGACTGCTGATGGCAATTCAGGAAATTCAGGGAAGGAGCAGAAGAAAATTGAAGGGGGAATGCTGCATCGACCCAATTCAGTTTTCAAGGGTGCTTATCCATTACCTGCTCCACCTGTGCGTTCTGGAGGTTCTGGGGTGAAGTTTGAGGATAAGAGGGAGACTGAAATCAAAAGAGGAACTAATTCTGTTGATAAGATTGGTGCACTTAAGGCTCAGCGTCGTGCCCAGGGTCTGTGTTACCTTTGTGCCGAGAAATGGTCACCTACTCACAAGTGTGCCAACACAGTTCAGCTTCATGCTGTGCAGGAGCTGTTTACAGTGTTATTTGAATCTGAAGAAGACACCAGTTCAGTTCTGGACTCAGCTGCATAACAGCAGATAATGGCAATCTCTGTACATGCTATGCGGGGCTCTGAGCACCGTGGATCCATGAGAATGCTGGGACAAATTCAAGGCAAGGAGATTTTGATTCTGGTGGATTCGGGTAGCACGGCTAGTTTTATCAGTAAGAAGTTGGCAGCCGGCTTAGTTGGGGTACAGGGGCTGCCTACCAAGGTGCAAGTGAAGGTGGCTGATGGAGCAGTTTTGCACTGTCAGTCTGTGATTCAGAATTGTGAATGGGTTAGCCAAGGGCATATGTTTTGTACTGATTTTAAGGTGTTGGCTCTCGGAAATTATGATGTGATCTTGGGCATGGACTGGCTGATGCAGCACAGCCCAATGACAGTTGATTGGTCTACAAGGACTTTGACGGTGAACAAAGATGGCCAACAGATCTTATTGCAGGGAATTGTTTCTGACACTGAACAGTGAACTCTTATTTCTGCTTGTCAGCTGAAAGAGTTGGATAAGAAGTTGGCAGTGGCAAATCTTGTTCAATTTTGCTTGGTTACTGATGATGTTCAGACTGAAATTATACCTGAGGCTGTGCAAAAGTTGTTAGCTGACAATGTTTCTATCTTTGATGAACCTGAGGGCTTGCAACCACAGCGCCCATTTGATCACACAATACCATTGATTCCTGGAGCCATGCCGGTTAATGTCAGACCTTATCGATACACTCCCTCACAAAAAGATGAGATCGAAAATCAAGTTCAAGAAATGTTGGCTAAAGGTATAATTCAACCTAGCTCTAGTCCTTTCTCATCTCCGGTGTTATTGGTTAAAAAGAAGGATGGTTCGTGGAGATTTTGTGTGGATTATCGCCATTTGAATGCTATCACAGTAAAGAACAAGTATCCATTACCAATAATAGATGAGCTACTTGATGAGTTAGCAGGGGTTCAATGGTTTACCAAGCTTGACCTACGTGCCGGGTATCATCAAATCATAATGCACATAGAAGATGAGCATAAAACTGCCTTCCAAACTCACCATGGTCACTTTGAGTTTCGAGTGATTCCTTTTGGTTTGACAAGCGCTCCTGCCACATTTCAGAGTGTGATGAATAATATTCTCTCTTCACTACTCAGGAAGTGTGTGCTTGTCTTTGTGGATGACATCCTCATATACAGTCGAACTTTGGAGGAACATTTGGTCCATCTACAGACTGTGTTTCAGATCTTACATAAACATCAGCTTAAAGTCAAAAAGAGCAAATGCTCGTTTGCTCAACAAAAGCTGGCTTACTTGGGACATATTATCAGTCCTAATGGTGTCTCCACAGATTCTGATAAGATTGCTGTTGTTCAGTCCTGGCCGGTTCCATCTTCTGTCAAGGAGTTAAGGAGCTTTTTGGGTTTGGCAGGGTATTACCGCAAGTTTGTGCGCAATTATGGCATTCTGAGTAAACCGTTAACTAATCTGTTAAAGAAGGGGCAACTTTATCTATGGACATCTGCCACAGATCAGGCCTTTCAGGCTATCAAGCATGCATTAGTGACTGCTCCGGTCTTAGCCATGCCCGATTTCAGTATTCCTTTCGTGGTAGAGACTGATGCTTCTGACAAAGGGATGGGTGCTGTACTTATGCAAAATAATCACCCAATCGCATTCTTAAGCAAAGCTTTGGGGCCACGACATTTGGGATTATCCACCTATGAGAAGGAGAGCCTTGCTATTATGATGGCTGTCGATCATTGGCGCCCTTATTTACAGCATGCTGAGTTCTTCATTAAGACAGACCACCGCAGCTTGGCCTTCTTAGATAATCAGCGTCTCACCACACCCTGGCAACACAAAGCACTCACGAAACTGTTGGGATTGCGATATCAAATCATCTACAAGAAAGGTAGTGACAATCGAGTTGCGGATGCGTTGTCTCGTTATCCTCTGGGGCACCAAGTTGAATTGTCAGCTTTATCAGTGGCTCTACCGGCTTGGATACAGGAAGTGGTTGATGGTTATCAGCAGGATACTGATGCTTGTTGTAAAATTCAGACCCTGTGTATCAATTCTGGAGCGGTGCTCGATTTTTCTCTCAAAGATGGGGTCCTGTATTATAAGAATCGCATATGGATTGGCAATAACACTTCTCTACAGCACAAAATTCTGGCCAATTTACACTCCTCGGCAGTGGGTGGCCATTCTGGTATTCAGGTAACCTACCAGCGTGTTCAACATTTGTTTGCTTGGCCTCGACTTCGTGCTTCCATTACTCAATATGTTCAGTCCTGCACAGTTTGTCAACAAGCCAAGCCTGAACATGTTAAATACCCTGGTATGCTCCAACTACTCCCTGTCCCTGCACATGCCTGGCAGATTGTCTCTCTAGATTTCATTGAGGGACTTCCCCGGTCTGCCACTTTCAATTGCATACTTGTGGTGGTTGACAAATTTTCGAAATACAACCATTTTGTTCCCTTGAGTCATCCTTTCACAGCTTTGGATGTGGCTGAAGCTTACATGCAACATATTCACCGACTTCATGGATTACCTCAGTCGCTCATCTCTGATCGTGATCGTATCTTTACAAGCACCTTGTGGACCACTCTCTTTCGTTTGGCTGGCACACAATTGCGGATGAGTTCTTCTTATCACCCGCAAACGGATGGACAAACGGAGCATGCCAATCAATGTCTTGAAACCTATCTTCGTTGCTTTGTTCACGCTTGTCCTTCTCAATGGAGTCGGTGGCTCGCTCTGGCTGAGTATTGGTACAATACATCATTCCATTCGGCTTTGGGTACTACACCATTTGAGGTATTGTATGGGCACAAACCTCGCTATTTTGGTCTGTCGGCTACATCTGCTTGTCAGTCAAAGGATCTGTTGGACTGGTTACATGAACGGGAGCAGATGCAATCTTTAATCCACAGCCATTAGTTACGAGCTCAGACTAGAATGAAATCACAGGAGGACAAGCGTCGCTCTGAGCGTTCTTTTGTTGTTGGTGACTGGGTTTATTTGAAACTCCAACCGTTTGTCCAGCAATCGGTGGTCACCCGCGCAAGCTATCTTTCAGGTTTTATGGTCCGTTTCAGGTGTTGGAGCGTGTGGGCGAAGTGGCGTACAAACTGGCTCTACCTGCTACCAGTTTGATCCATCCAGTTATACATGTCTCTCAACTCAAGAAGGCATTGGCTCCTGGTGAACACGTTCATGCGCCCCTGCCTGTGCTTCGTCCGACAATAGCCGATCCGCCCCAACCTGTTCATGTGCTGGAGCGTCGTTTCATCCGCAAAGGTGCCAAGATGGTGGAACAGGTCCTGGTGCAGTGGGCGGGTGATGATGATGCAGTTCGCACCTGGGAGAATCCTCATGAGCTTCGTCGTCGTTTTCCATCTGCAGAAGCTTGGGGACAAGCTTCAGCTCAAGGGGGGAAGAATGTCATGACGTCGTCATCACCATGCGATCCAGAAGTTCAAGACATCCAAACCAGGCGATCCACTCGGGCGAGGAGGCCCACAAGTAAATTCCCTCAGAGTGAGTGGACCCGGTGATGTTTGCCGGGCCACGGGTCAGTGAGAGAGATCTATTAGCTCATTGCTATATAAGATCGGCAGGGTCGAGAGTTCAGGGACATGAAAGAAATTGTACAAACTATTCCCCAATATTTCAAACTCTCCTCTGCTTCCTTCATCTTCTTCTTCCTCTAGCTCTGCTCTTCTTCTTCCTCCCGAAACTTCTATCCTCAAATTCCTTCGTTACTTGAGTGAATCGAATCGGAGAGAAGTGAGTTCATGACAGTCCACCACTACATTGAAGTATAATTGAATGATTTGAAGGGAGGGGAACATATAAGTGAGATAACTAGCTGGTAAACTTGTGACAATATGAACTAGTAAGAAATGGGGAACTGAGGGCTATTTGTGCAGGCATGCATAAATCAAATGATGCACTGGAATGGAGATAAGAAATATGACTCCACTAGAAGTTCCTTTTCTTTGTGTGCATGAATTACAATATGGATAGTGGACACCAAAGAAATTTCATCAGAACTATGAAAACTTAGTTTCTAGCTATGAAAGTATGAATAAGTGAACTAACGAAAGCAGGAGGTATCAGAAGGGGTTGGAATTGTTTTCTTTATGAGCACGATAACAATAGAATTATCTAAACAACCTTCTTTTTCATGTTTATTGTGAACAATTATGGAAATGATTGTGGGAAACAGAGGAAAAAGGAATTAATGCATGAAGAGACCAAAGGATGGAAAACTTAAAAAGGGACAAGCAAGCATGAAGTAAATAAACACGAAGAGAGGACTGCATGGTTACCAGAGTCAGAGAGGAGCCTTGTGTTGCAGAGCAAACGAAAGGCAGAACTCTACGAACTGCCACACATAAGAAAACTGTGATATGCTTGGAGCCTTGGACATTCTAGTGAGACAGAAGTCCCAGGTGCAGTATGCAGGTCAATGGCGTTTATTTTGGATAGACATAAACAAGCGAAACATTGTCTACTGGTAATCGCAAGTTGATAGGTTTTAATATGCAGGTGAGCTGGACCTGATTAAAAAGAGACTCTGAAAGTATATTCCAGCCAAAATATTGAATTAAACTACTCCATACTAGCACAATTTGAGAGCAACTGCAATAAAATCTAGTGAATCCAATAATGATTTAATAAGTAGCATATTCCATTGAAAAAGTAGAAGTGAAAGTGCGAGTTCAGTTTTGGTGTAAGTTCCTGCTTAATGGTTAACATGTACTGACAAATTTCTGCCCCAATATTAAAATATATTGACCAAAAAATAAATATATTTACAGAACTAGCATAGGATGAAGCATTGCTAAAACAAAAGCATGAAAATATTATTCTACACTATACGACTATCATCATGGTTCAAGGTGACCTTTTGCACCACAAAAAGGGCACTATTTCACGGTGGTTAATACAATGATTTCTTTTTTGGAATTCCCTCAACATGATATAGATATAGAATGATTTACCATTACCATAAAATAATTGTTAAATGTATATAATCCTAATTCACGGGTGGCCAGTCATTGGGGTTGCTTGTTACACCAGACTACATCGAGCAAGTAAGATGAAACTGGAAGTCACCATATGCCGGCCCCTTCTATGACTCTCCGCTCCATTATCGTCCTTTCATATTCTATTAAAACACTGCCTTTCCACATACTACCTCTGTTTCAGGTTATAAGGCTTTCTAGCATTGCTCACATTCATATAGATGTTAATGAATCTAGACACACATATATGACTAGATTCATTAACATATATATAAATGTGAGCAATGCTAGAAAGTCTTATAATATGAAACGGAGGAAGTATTAATTAATTAATTAATTAATTAAAGCCTTTGGTCAGTCAAGAAAGTGTATCAAACTTGCATATAGGAAAAATTAAAAGACCCATACTGGTGGACTAGTGGTCTCCAAATGATGATGTGTTTGCCACTATCTGTAATGCGTTCATATATATCAGCTAAATTCTAGAGTCTCTAATACTGTTAGAGAAGTCAGTAGTACTGATGCATACTTCCACTTGTACGCAATAAATAAAATAATAATAATAAATCCAAAAATCATGATCAAATGCCGGCATATTTCGCCCAACAATCCATACCCACAACTAGTGCTGACTGATTTGCAAAAGGAAAAAAAGAAGTCACAACCAAGAGGAGATGGACCTGTCACCGTCAGATGCCGTCAGCCACCTTGAAGCAGCACAATCCGGTGC